GCAGCCTTTGAGTTCTCCTAATTCTGTGGGAGGTCTAGGACTCTGTTAACCTCACGCACTCTGTTAAAAGCAACAAAAGAATTGATTAACACCGGTTTTGCTGTGAGGTCATAGTATCACTCCCAGTCAAGCCATTTCACATGCGCCATTGCTTTTCACTGAGTGATTGAGGTTACCAGAGGACTAACTCCCTAATTCTGTGAAGGATTATTGAGTAATGAAAGTAGAAAGTAGTTCAAAAAGAAAAAAAACATTTTATTGTAAAAATGCGTAGGGTGCTAGATCTCAATTGTTGAATAATATTTTATTGACAGATATTTGTAAAAGTAGAGTTATTATTTTAGTTCGTCGCTTTTTAGTTTTTTAAACTATAACTTATTTTTAGTTTTTTAATCATTAAAGACGATTATTTTCTTATTAAGATTAAAAAGTAACAAGTAAGTAAGTTAGATATGCTTCAGCACACACCTCTTAGTACGTAGCAAAACATATTACCTTATTTTTAGGTGATCCGCCATTAATCCTGAAGATCCTGATCGGAATAATCGCCTTAATTTATCAAATTATTGTATTGTCATCAGCCCTTGATAACTGTGCAAAGTTTCAATTTAACATCACGTTTGAAAATTCCGTTACATACACAGATACATCCATACCTAACTACTAGTAATAAAAGCGTTCTAAAAATTCATCAGCTCCACTGTAGCAGTAATATTTAGAATTTGTAAATTCAAAAAACATGATTGCCGCTTTCTTCCTTACCGAGCAAGAAGTTGGAGGCAGTCCAAGTCATTTGAAGTAATATTTCGTCGAATTTAGAGGTCACAAACCGCTGTACTACTGACATAAGACCTAAATTACCAGCCAAGTGCGTATCGGGACACGCGCAGTGTAATGCTCCGTGGCACCTATCTTAAACAAGTAACCACTTTAGCTGAATAGTTTAAGTTTTTGAACGATTTTTTTCAAGTATGTACATTTCATAAGTTGGACGAATACTAAACTAAAATTTACATAACTATAAAACAATTTTACGGCTATATCGTTATACTTTATCTCATTAAGATTTTTGTCACTTTTTCTTTTTTTTCTTTCACATTTAATTTATATGCTTACGCCAAATCACCAGAAATGCACGGTATATATTTTTATTATAACTTTCTGCCTACTTCGGTTTCAATTTCGATATCAATCTTTATGGTTTTAAAATGCCTTAAAAACTACGTATGTACTTAATAGTTATTTGACCCCATCGGGCACGACAAATGTAAGAGACAGGAGAAGAAGCCACTTAGTAAAAACAATTAAACATTTAAATAATTTAGCTTTAGTATTCAGACAGTCCATACATGACGTCCAGTCATGTATGGACTTTAATAAGATGTACAATCGGCAGAGCTAACAACTAAAAACCTCACCGGTTCTTCAAGAATATTATCGTCAACGATATGTTCATGGTACTAGTGAAATATAAACGGTTTATTGGTTGAAATAATTCCAACTGAGCGCTTTATCCGATAGTTATGTCAGAAGCGAAGATTATATTTGAAGAGTATCGTTGTCAATATTGTATGACATATATTGAAATATTGACTTTGACTCCTCAAAGTAATCTAACTATGCTTATTCTATTGATTTCCTCGGGAGAAATCTTTGTCGAAACAAGGTAGAGGGTTTCATTCATGATGTTAGTTATTTCATACTATTACCAAAAGACTATAGATTTCCGGAGAATTGTTATTTCCAGTTTGAAAGTTAAAGAAGTTTAGGTGTAAAGTATGCCTACTTTCTTTTATTTTCAGAGTCTAAGAAAACATTGAACGAGTACAAATATTAATGTTATTTTCCGTGGCGGTACACACAATGACATTACTTTATCACTTTTGAGGCGAACTTCCGTTCCAATTTTCATCACGAATGTACAAGAAACTGTTTCGCAGACATGTCTCCGCAACGGAACATGTACTCGTACCTTCGGAACACAATTAATCACATCAATTTGCGTTCCACTGAAACCCCAAGTTTGTCGTCTTCCCTACATTCCATCTACTAACTAATTTCATTCTGTTCATTGTCTTCCTTGTAATTTCAAGCGATGGGCAAGCATCAAGTCAAAAAAATGTTATGATAATTGGCTTTTATTGTGTAATTGCAATATTTAACATTAAACATATATATTTTCCAACTGATGTTTATTTCGTCTTTCGTTTCCCAATCAGTCGATTTGATTTAGTTATTATATTTGTTTTATTTAGTTTTTTGAATGATGTTAATAAAACGTTGTAAAAAGATGATTTTTTATTTTAATCGAGATCAATGATTTTCTGACCTACATCAAAAGCATCATTAGTACCATCGTCGTCATTTTTCCGAGTGTTTTCCTAACTATCCACATTAGATACAGGATGTATCTAACATTTTCCAATCCATCCAGATTGGAAAATGTTGTTACTGGAATTGACTATTTCCAGAAATTCTAAACTCTCAAACCTTATAAAATATATTGTACAAATTTATTAAATTAACAGTAGCGTCTCACTTAATTAATTATATTTGAAGAGTATCGTTGTCAATATTGTATGACATATATTGAAATATTGACTTTGACTCCTCAAAGTAATCTAACTATGCTTATTCTATTGATTTCCTCGGGAGAAATCTTTGTCGAAACAAGGTAGAGGGTTTCATTCATGATGTTAGTTATTTCATACTATTACCAAAAGACTATAGATTTCCGGAGAATTGTTATTTCCAGTTTGAAAGTTAAAGAAGTTTAGGTGTAAAGTATGCCTACTTTCTTTTATTTTCAGAGTCTAAGAAAACATTGAACGAGTACAAATATTAATGTTATTTTCCGTGGCGGTACACACAATGACATTACTTTATCACTTTTGAGGCGAACTTCCGTTCCAATTTTCATCACGAATGTACAAGAAACTGTTTCGCAGACATGTCTCCGCAACGGAACATGTACTCGTACCTTCGGAACACAATTAATCACATCAATTTGCGTTCCACTGAAACCCCAAGTTTGTCGTCTTCCCTACATTCCATCTACTAACTAATTTCATTCTGTTCATTGTCTTCCTTGTAATTTCAAGCGATGGGCAAGCATCAAGTCAAAAAAATGTTATGATAATTGGCTTTTATTGTGTAATTGCAATATTTAACATTAAACATATATATTTTCCAACTGATGTTTATTTCGTCTTTCGTTTCCCAATCAGTCGATTTGATTTAGTTATTATATTTGTTTTATTTAGTTTTTTGAATGATGTTAATAAAACGTTGTAAAAAGATGATTTTTTATTTTAATCGAGATCAATGATTTTCTGACCTACATCAAAAGCATCATTAGTACCATCGTCGTCATTTTTCCGAGTGTTTTCCTAACTATCCACATTAGATACAGGATGTATCTAACATTTTCCAATCCATCCAGATTGGAAAATGTTGTTACTGGAATTGACTATTTCCAGAAATTCTAAACTCTCAAACCTTATAAAATATATTGTACAAATTTATTAAATTAACAGTAGCGGCGCAGCCTCAGAGAATTCCTTGTGTTGTAAGTTTAAAATATTTGTCCCTTTATTCCCAGTCCCAGGTATTTTACTTAATGTAAGAACACCGAACACGTAAATTATATTATGGAGCATACAATAATACAACCGGCTTATAAATAGGAGAACATATACATCCAAATAAATAAGAGTTTCTGCACTATAAACTAGAAAAGGTTCAATAGTGAATAGCCTCCAAAGTTCAACATTAGTTGTCTGAGGACAAAATAGAGGCCTGGGGCGGATGAACTTACTTATTCCATAAGACAAGAAGTGATCGACCGGTTATTTATATTGTATCCTTTTTCTGTACCTAACATTTAATATTAGCAAGGAAAATTTCGTTCGTAAAATAGATTGGATTGCAGCTATCGTAGTCATTGCATTTTGATCAAATCGTCGGCTATACAAATAGTTTGTTATTTTAGATACTCGCGTCTTTTATTATCGAGGTCAATTTAAATGCCTATATTTTGCATTTCATATAATAAACATAATATTAGTCTCACTTAATTAACAGGGCCAAATCTGTTGTCGTTAAACTCTTAACAACGTCTTCATTTCTAATCGGCAAGATGTATATGGGTCCCAAACGCCATAACATGAAATCTGAAGTATCAACTCCCACTAGATAGTGATGTTATAAATGCGAATTCGAGTGTGATTGTTTGTTATGTTGAAAGAATATTCCTGTGGAAGTAATGTTACTGTGCCTTACCTTTTTTTCTGTGCCAAAATCCCTTTGGATACCACCCACCGGTGGTTATGTAGGACTCTAAACGACAAAAACCCCACGCCATCTCAGGTACCAGTAGTCGGGGAACCAGGTGTACCCTAGGAAGGAAAACCCTGGACCCCCACGTTAACCCCGCCCCCTCTACGGCATGTAGTTTTAGCGTTTGTGGGAACTGGCGGACCGGAAGAGTTCTAAATCAGGGTGACAGATGGCCTCACCAGTCACCCCCAGGAGGACGGAGGTCGTTCTGCGACCTCCGGCGCCTGAGTCGTCTGTATTCTATGCCCCCCTCACATCTCCAACTTCATCAACTCTTCCTTCTACGTCCAGTCAGTTCTTCTCAGGAATGCGCTTATTCATGACAAAAGTGCGTGATATTCTTCGGAGTGAATTGGCAGAAGTCACAACGCTAGTACCCGACTGAGTATTTTTATATTATATTAAATTTATGTAGGTTTATGTAGGCATGTTTATTTATGTATGTGTATTTATATATTGTGTACATCTCTGGACTTGGATTATGTTCAATTTAATATTTTATTTTGCACCTACCGCATCATATTTCTACATCACCTGAAGGTTGACTGGGAGAGAATGCCTTATAGCATTAAGTCCGCCTTTGTACAATATGTGCATTAAGTTTTAAATAAATAATTAAAGACTGGAGAGAATAAATTAAATCGGAAATGCAAAACTTAATAATGACACAGTTCCAAACAGTCTTGATACCGTGAGTGTGTCGCGATAGAGTTAGAGACAGTAGTGAGAACAGTGGTGGTTTTAAAACTAATGAATAGTGACGCGCGCAGTAAGCGAACTAGACGGATGTCTGCTAGTAAGAAAAATCCTTCGACCCGCAGTTACTCAGTTCATTCGTGATCATGGCGCTTGCAACAAATCTGAAATATCGGATATGCTAAAATTGCTGATATTAGGTCTTTACCTCTTTACAAACTCTTCAAAGGCATTTTGTACTGCCTCTCGGGAATTGAATTTTTTACCCACTAAAAAGTCGTCTAAATTTTGGAAAAAGTAATAGTCGGTAGGTGCCTTGACCTTGGACCTTGCACCTACCGACTATTACTTTTTCCAAAAGTACAAAATGCCTTTGAAGAGTTTGTTGCCTCCCGTTCAGCTGATTTTTACAAGAAGGGAGAATAAACTGCCAATGCGTTGGCAAAGATGCGTCGATTGCATGGGTGTATACAAAACGGCAATTTCATAGGTAAAGACCAATTATTTCCGAAAACATGGTAAATTTCGTTTATAGTGTAATTCGTAACATGGTATTATAAATCAATACATTCAGTTTATATGTTTGTTTGTATTCAATACGAGCACTGTAAAAGTTCAATCAAATTAATCAATGACCCCATTGTTGAGCAATCACTGCCCGTCCATAATGTTCGTTTGATCACGAGCGTGTAATCTGCGCCACAGCCATCATTACCTGCGTCATTTACCTGCCCCACTAATGGACGGCAAGGACTTTCAATGCCATACCTGATAGCTTTTTGTTCAAAGTTTAATTAAACACCCTCTGGAGTAAATAACAATCATGACTCGGCCGAATTACTTTTCTATAGACCGTGATGGACTAAATGATAATAAGTACATTTTTAGCTGTGATGGGCATAAATCTTACGATGGAGTAGAGGCACAGTCAACCTATTCCTAATACGAATATTTAGCTCAGCTGGAAAGAAAATACAATAATATAGAATACAAGAATACTAGAAATGTAGCCGAATTTTAGACGCCTTGCGCTTGCATTTAGATTGTATTCTAACAGATAAAGTTCTACTGAAGATCTATCTGTGACTTAGACTCGATTTTTTAATCGATTTCAAGTATAGACATGACGATGAAGTCCAGAAGCCTTCCCTTATCGGTAGGCTAGTTCCACTAGGTAGTGCGTACTCGACTGCCGCCGTGCCAATGCTGATATCAAACCACTAGGATTTATTTTTGATTGTGTTAATGTCATTCGCGTTTAAACTGCTACTAGCAAAGTTATACTAAAAAAAACATACCTCACAATGCAGTGAAAAAGCAACAACGACGCGGTTGCGCCTTTAACACGAGCTATTGTAGTATTATCCACACCTCAAGCTATTTTCTGCCTATACTTGCTTCTTTTCTATCAAAATATGACGACATAAACAACAGCATTTATAAGTTATATTTAAATTTAACAATATATAGGCTACTGAAAGCGTTAATGCAAAAGGACGTCGCTGGTTGGTTCGATAACTCATTTTATTCGTGTATTTCCTGACGCTTTGTGCCTAGCAGTTGGACACACGCGGCCTATTCATTCAAGCGGACACATAATTACCGGTAACTGTTACGTGCTGACACATTCATCAGTTGTGGTTTTCAATACTCGTGGAAAACTGTCTCTAGGTACTTCTAACACCCGTCGACTATGTTAGGCGATAAAAACTATTTTACTTAAGTGTTCTGTAAGTAATGTTTTTCGAAGGTTTAACCGATTTTTTCAGGGTTTGGTGGGTGTCGTCAGAGCCGACTAAGGGCGCAAATTACGCAGGAATTAATACTGGACAAGTCATTAACCAAACACATAAATCGAAATAAACATTATATTATGTGGATGGCATAAGAGTCGGCTAAGGGATAAAACTCTACAGAACACCAGCACTGCAAAAAGAAGGAAAGCTTGAAACAAACCCTATACCAATCCGTCTGTCCAGCTCGGTGTAGTGGGCCAAAACCGTACCCTGGGAAAGCCATGCTTCGGCAAAAATGGCCCTCTCGACCGGTGCGACACAGAAAGAAATCGTTGTTAAGCAATTTCCCTGTTGCATTTCAACTCCATCGGACACATCCTATCTTTCCTACCTCGGCTATCATCTGGAACACTCCTTTGTTACAAGGGCTGAAGTGTGCGTATACGTTAGAGTTACGTTACGTTACGTTATGTCAGTGATATCAGTTCTCACTGCTCTACACTTAAAGGGCGTCAATGTCTTTTCAGTTACTGGTGTCCGTGGGCGGGGGTAGGCACTTACCATCAGTTGGCCCGTCTGTTCGTTTGCTCCTATACCATAAAATATTAATTAATACTTTATTCAAATATTGAAGGCAGACTTCCTTGAGTTTAATCAGCACTGAAGTAAGAAACAAAATCCAATAGAAAAAAAAAAACACCGATACTAAAAACTTTTTTTATCAACAGTTGCGGTCGCGCAGGCAGCTTAGCAGCTACTCCAGGTGAAAAGCTTATGGAACTTCTGCGGCCCAGTGCTGGCACTCCCCGCAGACACTCCACGGCAGCATGTGCTCCGGCACAGCCACAGCGGCCGTCAGGCTTTGTGTACTGTCCGTCTGACGCGCTGCCATATTGCCCGCCTTCCAGAATTACGCAACCAAGACCTATTTTGAAAGTAAGTAGAAGAACTTATATTTTGGTTGAATACCTATGTTGACTATATATTTAAAAATAAAGTTGTGCATCATAAATGTATATATATATAGAGATTAGTAAATTCATGATACTCATCGAACATGACCTACCTGTAACTAATTTAAAAATAAAACTGTTTTTAAATAGTTAAGAATTTATATTATGAAGTGTTTTAGTAGTTACCTACTTGTATCTATGAGTGTGGTGTACAAACAATTGTAATTCTGAATTTTACAATGTTTGTGCAATTTGAATCCGAATTTTATAAAACAACAATCTTCACAATAGCAATAACTCTTGCGTCAGCGTCAGAGATAATCAAAGAACGCTAAAAAAACAAAATGTCATATTTCAGTATTACAATAGTTACATGTTGTTCCAGCTTCAACCACCACCACAACACCAGCCAGTGCAACCACAACCGCCACCCGTCCCGCAGCGAACTACAGCAACCGTGACACCTACACCGCTTCCTGTACCACCACCCGCACCACCACGTCGGTCCTCCCCACAACCACCTAGACGAGTGCCCCCTCCCACTCCTCCTAGACCCCCCGCAGCCCCTCCGATACAGACAGACCCTAACGGCAATCGCAATAGTCGCACTGTGGCACCAGTCCAACCACAACCGCGTCTCGACTGCAATAGAAACCCTCAGCAACAACAAACGAGAAGACCTCCTCAAAGAATTCCAGACTCCACACCTTTTACTCCTGCACCCTTACCCCAAACTCCTGTCCCACCAATAAAGCGATCTCCAAGTTCTGGATCAAACATTAGTGTACGCCAAGACTCGAACGTGTCTTCAGATTCCTTTAGCCAGACTTCCTCACCTTCATACACAACAAAGACAATGGAAGCTCCGTTGTTGCCCCATCAGCATTTAAATAAGAGTCTAAACGCAAAAATAGCGCGAGGCCTGCTTTTAAAGGAGCAACAGGATCGGGACTCAGGGAACGGGTCCATCACCAAGAGTATGTCCACACCGGCGTCTCTGCAGACGATTGTCAGATTTCAAAATGGGAGCAATATGTCTTTACATCACCGGGTAAGTTAATAATAAACAAAATAAATAATATTTTCACACATATCACACACGGCCGCCTGATCCCAAACTAGGCAGAGCCTGTGCTATGGTAACCAGACTGCTGATAAACATACTTATATGTTTCTAATTACATACATGTTATAGATAAATTACACCCAGACACAGAACAAATGACCGTGCTCATCATACAATTATTCGTCCTGGGTAGGAATCGAACCCACGACCTTTGGAGTAGTCAGGTCACTGACCACTAGACCAACAGCGCAGTCAAGTTAATATATAGTGAAATGTTTTAATACAATAGTCTTAAACGTACACATTGAAAACATACCTTAACGTCGTCTAAGACAAGCTGTACTATCTGGAAACCGCTAATCCTGTATCGCGCAATTAAAGTTTGCACGCTAATTAGCACCTATGTGTGCAAATTCCAAACTTTACTCGTCAAGTGACACCTAAGGAGCCCTAAGTAAGTATGATTGTACGGAATAGTACCTCCCAAACTTTTGTAAATGATCTCGTCTAGCTCATGCTGACCACCTAGGTTGCGTGAAGCGGGCCTTTGCCCTTAGTAACTCCCAAACTACTAAACAAACCCAAACCTTCATACGTATATGAATCGTTGTGAAGACCACGAACCGTGATCATCTAACGAGGTCGGTAAGATCTTGGTATTGTAAGAACGCATCAACTACCCACGTCAAAGGAAAACTAATAGTTACTGGCCTTCCGAGAATACATATAACCAGATTGTATTGTCATGCTATTTATCTATTTCAGAAAACAGTAATGACATATGTTTGAAATATATTGAAATTTGCATTTCGAGCAAAAGGGTGTCATATAACCAGTATCAGCTTGCAATAATATTTTATCTCGGAGTACATACAAGTGCGGAACGTACGGTCATACGTACGAGTACGGCCTGTGGTGTGCGCAAGCGGTGCGCTCGTAATTAAAATATTGTTGCACATTAAACACTTGTGCGAAGGCTTTAGCTGGATGAAGTATGCTGGTGTAAGGCATGAGAGGTGATGAGTTAGTTTTATCAATACTATTAAAAGCTTATCGCGTTTAACTGTTAAATTAAAACATTATAACGATCCTAAAATCGGATCCTAAATTGAATGCTACGTTTAACGTAAACGTAGCATTCAAATATGAAAAAAAAACATGTGTTCTATATTAAAGTATTCTGATATAAGGTTCCAAAACGAGTCAAAATAAATTGAAAAACTATTAACATTCAAATTATTTGCGTAGATTGAGTTAATCAAAAAGATAACAACCTTATGCTAAGGAACACAAGGTACAGTAAGAGCACCGAAACTTAATCAAACTTAAGACCTTTATTAACGAGCAATAGATTTTTTTTAATTCTACATATTTATATATTTACCTCACGTTAACATTCTATAGCAGATAGCGAAATAATCGAAATTCTGATTAGCCTTTGTGCTTAAGGTAAAAATCGAGAAAAATCCGTAGAACCATTGCTTTCTTTCAATAAAGTTTATTTTTAAATGTAGATTCTATAAGTTGCAGCATCGCAATACAAGTATTTTTTGTTTTATATGTTTATAGAACCGCTATATGCTGTTCTGATAATAGCTGTATGCTGTTTTGATCAGATAGAAAACGTATTTTGTATCTGATCAAAATAGGGTACTCCACAGACCATGAAATGATAAAAGAAATGATGACTGAAAGTGACTTCCATTCAACGCAGTATTTGTTACACCAAACGAAGGCAGATCCAGAATGGTCTCAAAATAGCATCATCAACATCATCATCAACAGCCTTTAATAGTCCACTGCTGGACATAGGCCTCTCCTTAGAAAGGAGGTTTTGGCCTACTATACCACGCTGGCCAGACGGGTTGGTATAGGGTTTGTGTCAAGTTTTCCTTCTTTTTGCAGTGCTGGCGTCCTGCGTTGTTTTGCGCCCTTAGTCGGCTCTTACGACACCCACGGGATGAATTGGGGTAGTGACATTCCGTATTCTTAATCCGTCACTACACGGACTCTTAATTCGTCACTACACGGACTGTAAATAGCGGACTCAAAATAGCAAACATCTAATACTGTCCACTTTGAGTAAAGTTTTCTGCCGCACATACTGTCTATAAATCTAAATAACAAATATTAAACTTAACAGTGAAATCGCAACTTCCTATGACTTGCTCCATGTGTGTTTTTACGTAGAAATGCAAATGCAGCCACACTTCATTGCATACCACCCAGATTACACATGGAAATGTTTGAAACGCTTTTCAATTCTGAGATTTTATTTAACTTTATCGTGTGAATAGCAATGTATCCGCCAGCTGAGATCAGAATGTTTCATATAAAGAGAAAAAATTTAAACTTTCGTTTTTCAAGTCAAATTGTACACTAAATTTAAAGGCATACAGTTTACTTTTGAACAAACGTTTTGGTGGAGAGAAGTACCTAATTATATTATAAATGTGAAAGTAAGTATATTTGTTTGTTTGTTACGCTTTCACGTCTAAACCACTAAAGCAATTTAAAAAATTCTTTCACCAGCAAGAAAGCTTCATTTTCAGCAAATAACATAGGCTATTTTGCCACGATAACTGGCATACACGCGGGCGGAGCTGCGGGCAAAAGCAAGTCTTCTATAAATAGACTGATATGCACCTGCATATGAGTCACATGTGCGTTACTCCTTTTTGAGTCCCAACCATCCATCGGGTGACACGTCTGCTAGTTCAACCCCCTAATATAATAAAAAAAATCTTCATTATTGACATTTATAAACTGCACACAAGCTGCTGACTCCATTTATCAGCTAAAAAGTTACAGTTATAACCTAAAGGGGCATTACCCCAAGGGGTTGAAACTTTTCGTAGCCCCACATTCCTAAATTTTGATGTGAAATATCAATAATGAGGTGATTAAATTTGATATTAATCGTTAATTACAATCGCTGTCAAAATTTTGAAGAACAACCTCCTCAGGCTGTGCGGAAGTCATTAATTATTTGAAAACTTAATGAAGAAATCGAAATCAATTTCGAATCGCTAAAAGGCCTTTGAATATTAATTGGCTTTGTAATGAAATAAAACCGAAACTAAGGTAGAAATTTATTTATTTATTTCTCTAATTTCTATTTACCTATCACCAGTTCAAAATCAATCCAGTCCATCCAAAGGTTGCCTGGAAGAAATTGCTCTAAGCGATAAGGCCGCCCTTTGTAAATTACATCTGTTGTTAATTACTTAATTATATCTGTAAAACCTGGTGTACAAATAGACTATTTATCTATCTATCTTATTGAAAGACAAAGATGAGAGTAAGTTTATGTGAATGCAATCATCTATTTGTCTAGTTGGTACTTTGGGATTTTGTCATACGCTCATGTTTTTAATATTCCCGGGATAGACAGGGGCGTATCAATACTCCCATATATTGCTGACCATAATTTTAGTTTAATTTAAGTAATAGTATTTTGGCCTATTATACCACGCTGGCCAGACGGGTAGGTATAGGGTTTGTTTAAAGTTTTCCTTCTCTTTGCAGTGCTGTTGTCTTGAGTAGTTTGCTCTCTTAGTCGGCTCTTACGAAACTTGAAAAAAAACCCCATACCAACCCGTCTGGCCAGCGTGGTATAGTAGGCCAAAACCTCCTTTCTAAGGAGAGGCCTCTGTCCAGCAGTGGACTGTTAAAGGCTATTGATGAGTATCAAAAATTAATAATATGAATTGACGGGTATGTTGATCTAGTTGTTAGCGAACCTGTCTGCTTAACTAGAGGTCGATTTGGATCCCTCCCTTACGAGTATTTGTGGTACCAGCACGATCATTTGTTATGTGTCTAGGTGTAAATTATCTTTATGTATTTGGAAATTTTTAATTCTTTGTCAGCAGTCTAGTTACCACAGTAAAAGCTCTGCATAGTTTGGGATCAAACGGTCGACCGTACCGACGAGAAATTAAATTATGCTGAATAGGTATGAAAAAGAAAATACGTTTTGAAAATGGACTGTTTATAAACACGCGTTGTAAAATTCCTCCGCAGTGTTACCAGAAATCTATCTGCATTGTCACGTTACATGCCAACGCTAATTCTCTATGCAAAGAAAAGGTCCATGATCATAAGGAGTGTCCAGCAGCGGCTAAGCTTTTTCTTCATAAACCGAAAGAGCAGTCAGGCCGTGTGACCAAAATATTTTTAAAACCACCAAAATATTGTAAAAAAACTCGTAAACGAACCACAAAATCATCTCATATCCTTCATAAAATCTTAAAGTCCATCTTTTAAGTTTACCGTAAACAATCACAAAGTTTCTAATCATTTTGCACTACGTAGGTACTTTTGCAGTGGAGTGTGCACCCTGTCCTACATCTATAGCAAGGAGAATACAGCCTGCGTCACATATTGCTGTTTACATTGCCTCAAGATTGCATCCCCACATACCCACAACATACATACATACCTAAAATAATTAGTCCCTCATTGTATTGGTTAGTTTGAGATGCAGTTTTTAGTAAGTTTACTATTTATTTATAGAAACTTATACATTCGTCGCGTTAAAAGACACTGCTAATGTTACTGTTGTTTTAAAATGGGTGGGGACAGTCATAGGTCTATACAAATAGTTAATTTAAGTAAAAATGTAATTACTAATAATACTAACCTATCAACTTAAGCACTATTGTTACTAACACTAAAATACTAACATAAATATGGACCATAAGTCTGAAATAAACTTTTATTATTATTATTATTTAAAGATCGTTAAGAATTTCGATTACGAATGGTATTGCTTTTTTTTCTAGCAAACCAACAGGTTTTCCGCTATATCTGATTGGAAAATTGTACAAACTTATTTTAACACCTTTTTGGAGCTAGGGATATACAGTAGGGCTACTTCTTCAAATACTCAAGAAAAATGTTTTTTTTTTTGTTTTTAGTTTTTTTGTTTTGCAAAAAACCCTATTACTAAATTTCCTCTATCTGTGGGGTTATTAACCAACCTTCTGTATTTTATGTAATGTGTTAGGAAAACGGTGGTGGTTTTCAGAAAGTGTACAATAGCAACTATTAAAGCTTGAATTTGAAAAGGGTAAGGTAAGGTAAGGAAAAGGGTAGATCCCAATACCTGATTTTGCCTCTTTGGTTTAATACAAGTTAAAAGTATCAAGAGTTATTAAACTCTTGATACTTTTTAGCTACAGTTGCCAGAAGGTTGCAAAGTGTAAATAACGTTAGATTGCAGTAAAAAAAAACTTTGGTTGATGTACGACCTATTTGCTGCTGCAGTTGGCTATTCGTCAGCACCATAAGAGGCTTTCATAGATACCGGTCACAGCTTTTATATATAACGTCTGATCTTCTATCTTTACTTTTCTTCTATCTTCTTCTCTTCTCTCCGAAGTATCTGTCGTAATGGGCGACTGCACGGACGGCGTAGTGGTTAAAGCTGTCGCCACGCCGTTTTCTACTACGCTGAGTGTTGTGAGTCCGATCCCCGTATGGGACGACACTTTGTGTGATCCACAAATTGTCGTTCTGAGTCTGGGTGTTATTTGTATCCGTTTCATGTATGTTTGTAAAGTCCGCCGCGATACAGGATATACTCATATTTCTAGTGCAGGAGTTGTTTTAAAAAAATAAAAAAAAAAAATCTGGATCTGTAATCTTGCAACTTAGGCGTTACGCCTAACAGTCGAAGGCCATAATAGTTGGTAATCATCGTTTATTTCTAATTTACCTAGCGTTAAAAGTTACCTTGTTTTAGATTTTATATTAACAAGATAAATATATCGATTATATGGGTCTATTTCTTTTTAACACGCTTTTATTAGCTTCACCTGTATGTTTGTTTGTATGTAACCGACTCCTTTGGGCGTAATTTTGACTGACTTTAAACGGTCAGAATTCGTTTAAACTTTGTAGATATATCGAGGACCGATGACAATACACTAATATAAAAAAAAAATGAAAAAAATTATAGTTTAAAAAAAAAATATAGTTTTAAAAAACTAAAAAACACGCTTTCTATAGAAAACCAAACTAAAACATAGAAAATAAATTTGAAAAAAAGCGTTGGGTGCCTGTTGTCAATAGTAAAAAGCACCCCACGCTTTTTTTCAAATTTATTTTCTATTTTTTAGTTTGGTTTTCTATAGAAAGCGTGTTTTTTAGTTTTTTAAAACTATATTTTTTTTTTAATACGAAAATTACAAAAGCAAAACATTAGAATGGTCAAATTATTTTTTAAGAGTCGCATAAAAATATGCTAGACTCGTTCTGTTTAATTCGGAGTTATGCAAACATCACAACGAGATTGTATTTTATATTTTTTGATGTAAACACCAGGTTTTTTTAATGTCGTGTCAATTTAACATACTTGTGGCTTCTAAACGAGAAAATCCTACACTTAATTGCTTGATATAACTTGTTTCTTACCACAAAAATAACCTTCGATTTACATTTTAACTATTTCACATTCCGTTTTCTCCCAATCCCTAGACCATTCACCCATACGAACATAGACCGCGAAACGAGCTATCAGCGTCTATTGTTCAAAGGATTTCAGTTTTGACGCGTCTGACTTAGCTGAAAGCTTATTAGAACATAATACTTCCTGTTACAGACTGGAAGGATTTGAATTATTTTAGTTGCATTTTCAAACCAAATACATTATGGAAACTTCACCGTGTGGTAACGAGAAAATTTACAAAAATAACGTCTATTTTAATAGTCAGCTGTAATCTATAGCGTCTGCCGATATCCAGGAGTCGAAATAGTAATAGAAAATAGACCATAGTGCAGTTCTGGTCGGAATAAAATGATTTCGGGAGAAGTACCATTATCTATAATAACGCAGTTTACAGCCAAAACCAGCACGGTCCTGTGTTTCTGCTGGTGAGCCCAAAAAAACAGATTTAGGAGCGCGCTGTAAAACAGTGTTTGTAATCAACGTTAACTGTAAATCCAACATGTTTTTTTTTCTCACTTTGTCTCAATGATGACTGGTAGTGGTTTAAGCGATCGCCACGCCGCTCACTACTACGCTGGGTTGTGGGTCCGATCCCCACATGGGACGACACTTTGTGTGATCCACAAATGGTTGTTCTGAGTGTGGGTGTTATTTGTGTCCGTTTCATGTATGTCTGTAAAGTCCCCCGTAACACAGGATATATTCCTAATGCGGGAGTTGTATTATAAAAAAAAAACTCAAGTACATTTTACATCACTCATTAAACTCTTATTAAGAGTTGAGATAAACAGGAATAAGCTGTAATAAATATGTGTATTTTCGTTAAGCAGATGCTTCGTGACATGCGAGGCGCCAGTAACGTCCCTTCACCTCAGAAGTTCCGTGTCATGCAATTAGCAGCGAATGCAGTGTTTTTGCTGGTCATCGCCGGTTCTCTCTTCATCTACTTCCGTGCCAACCCTGCAGTACAGGTCGGTCATATAGTATTTAGTATTCAGTAAGATTGCATTAGTACCAGTAATAGTTTGAAATACAGTTAAGCTTAAGAGATAATTCTAGTTCAGGTCCAGGCACAACGACCAGGCCGGCCTGGCCTGGCCTCGGATTGGAGAACCTTGATTTATTCTTTATACAGATCATAGTCAGATCTGGGACTTATTAAAGTATTTTATGTGCAATATACTACGATTTCATTGTAAACTCGGTGCTTACGAATTTTTAAATTACACAAATTATAGATTCAAAATAAAGTACTAGTAGCTGACCCACGCAATTTCATCCTCGTCTTTCAAAATTACTCAAATTTGCCCGCTTTTGCAACATTTTTGAAGTAAAACTTCTTTACGCACGCTTGACAGGAGTAAGCTGATGAATGCGTGATGAGAGCGTTGCGAAAAGTGTGATCTTGCGAGGCAAACGGAAGTTAAGAGGGAGATATAAGTTAGTGAAGATAGAAATGAGAGAGTTACGTTTCGTATATTACTGTAGGGGCAAGAGGGAAAGGTGCGAGCACACATTTTCTTTCTCTCTTTCTCTCATAGCCAAAAAGTTTAACTTCAGTCGTGTGGTCTAAAGCACGTTCATTTTTTTATTAGTTCAACTGCTCCTATAGGTCGTAGACAAAAAACATTTTGTAGTGGGCCGAATTTTGAATCTAAACCATTCTCGAATCCACTTGAACACTCACAAAAAAACATCAAAATCGGTCCAGCCGTTTAGGAGGAGTTCACATGCACACGCACAGAAGAATTATACGTATATATAAAGATTTAAATTTTCGTGAGCCTTATAAATTTTAGAAAAAAATGATCTTAATCATTAAGATCAAAGGGAATCAGGATTTTTAATAGAAAATAATTTAATCAATAAATTGCACCGCTGCGTTCCTTGCCACAATTCGAACGAAACTAGAAATGTCTTGGAGAATAATAATCTTCGCGAGAGGTATTATGAGTATTAGTGGTTTTGGGTAAGGCCGACTAGTTTCGGGTCTAACAGGATCCCTAGCCGGTCTCAAATGATAGCCTTACCAAGTGACAACATAAATTTAATTTCAGTAATGATAGCGCACGTGTCGAAACTCAAGCGATTTTGTTAAATTATATTTATCATTTAACGTAGCGTAGGACGCCCACAGGCCAGGTGGAGTGACGATTTGCGCAAGATGGCTGGCAGGAGCTGGATGCGAGAAGCCCAAAATCGATCTAAGTGGCGTGCAATGGGAGAGGCCTATGTCCAGCAGTAGACTGCGATAGGCTGATGATGATGATGATGATGATATTTATCATTTGAATTTAATACAATTTTTTTGCAGTTAACGAACAAAATAAAACACTAGTTAAAAAAAAAACATTAATGTTTCGCTTTCATCAATTGAAATACATAAATTCGACTTCAGAGATTTTATGTGGCTTCTAAATTTAGAATGGACCTTATTGTAAATGGTTTATTAATTATGTCGCATTGTCCCACTCCGTAAGAAAGCCATACTGGTAGACTATAAAGAAATTAACAAAAGCTAAAACAATCCTTATTACAAAACAGGTTTCGCTGAAAACGGCCATGGCCATGAAGAAAAAAACATTGCGAAACCAAAGCTTTGATAACAAAACAATTATTGTGCTCGTATCTCAAAGCCCTGGCTTGCCCTGGCAAGCTTTAGGCAACAATTCCGTCTTACCTGCCGTCTTTGTATGTTTTGTAGAAGTTACAACAATAGAAACATTGGGAAAGACGCGTTCTTGTACAATAATTCTGGTTTTAACGTTGGAAACTTTTTTAAGTATTTCAAACTTATTTCTCGCATGAAAATCATAAAAGAGTACCATGTTATAGGTTTGTGTGATGCGTAGAATGTGGGCAACAATACAAACAAAGGCACAAACTCAAACAATAACTACTAACAATCAAAATTAAAAACTAATTGAAAAAATAGTTTAATAAGTAACATTATGATAGCAATAGATACCTTCTAGTCTGATTCTGGTCGGTGCCAAGCTGTATGCACAAAAAGTAATATACTGGGCCGATTTACTTAAAACTGTGTACACATTTCAATGTGATCCTGCGTTCCAAATACAGATGTGGTTCTTAAACAAAGCAATGTAGAATATGAAAGCCAAATAAGATAACTAAAAAGAATATCGCACGGAACCCTTCCCACGCGGATTTAATTCGCACTTGGAAGGGTAATCCATACTAATCTATGTCCATACTATAATATACTATATACTTTATTATTACTATTTACTGTATTTAGTATTTTTCGCTATATTACTATTACCATATTCACTATAATATTATAAATGCGAAATTGTGTCTGTCTGTCCCGCTTAAACCGTTGAACTGAGTTAGATGAAATTTGGTATGGAAATATTTTGATTCTTAAGGCAAGATATAAGATACTTTTTACTACGATAACTAGCATATACATGGGTGGAGCCGCAGGCAAACCTAGCTTACAATAATTCTTTGAATGCTATTAAAATTTAATTCCTTCTCAGCAGTACGTCTCTCAAGTGGTCAACCGGACCACTGTGATCACTTGGCCAGCATCTACAGAACCACCTGGTGCAAGAAACCCTGCTCCTGGAGTGTGCCTGCCAGTTATTGTCAACTTCTGCCAACAGCACAGAATACCATACAACTTCACCGTGTTTCCTAACTATATTGGACATTTTGGACAAAGAGATGCCCAGCAGGTCAGTAACTAAACTGTTTAATATACAGTAGATCAGAAGCATGCAGTTGATGGGAGATCTATGCTTCGACACTAATGGGTCGGCTCGACTGGGGTAATATGACGACCTTACAAAACACCTACCGGGTTTAAGTAATTCTTTTGGTACTTTCACCGAGTGAAAATTATTCTCTCTATAATCCTGGGAAAGGGACTCATAGGGTGGCAGCACAATTGTAACTATTAGTTGACTTCTGCTTATCATTACGTGATCCGCCTACTTTTACCCCTTAAGTATACCCTAAAAATAAAGTATGTAATCATAATTAATTCCCTAAGTGGGGCACTTAGGGAATTTAAGAACACACGCATGTACAAAAGAAGATACATGTATAAATATTTATACATCAAACATGTATATTAATACAGGGAATTTATTCGTATAACCCCAGGGGATGATGAGGCCGTCTGTGTAGTTTAAGCGATATCTACACACGTAATAATGTTAGAATCGCTTAACATAAATACGCAACACAGAACTGAAACTAATAAAAACTTTCATTGGATGAGTCTTGTTTCAAAACTACATATTATATTGTTTAAAGAAGTTCACAAGTTTTAACAATCAATACCTTCTTTGTTATGACTTCGTTTTAATTAACCGTACAGTATTAAGAATATTGAAGGTTTGTTTTTAAGAAAATAGGAAAACAGTTATTCGTGACTATGCATAAAATTTTGATATCAAACAAACTAAGTGGGTCCTTTGTACTCAATTCGAGTCCAATAAGATGTCCGATTTCTAAAAAGCTTTAAATTCTGATAATATTAATATTCAAAACAGCGACTTATTCCGCAATGTTCAGGAAAAGACAAATAATGTGAACAGAGAAGATCCTTAGACGGTGTACGTCTAAAACCTTACTGAGTAACAATTGAAGAAAGCAATAGGTTTAATTGGCCGTATCGGAGGTGCTCGTTAAAATCCCATTAACAAGGTTAAACAGACACTTTGCGGGGAAGCAGCCCGTTAATTAGTTAGACTTGTAATGTTTCAAAGGTTTTGGCAGGATCAAAAATTGTTTCAGTATAATGTAGGTCTCATTTTTTTGCCAGTAACAAGATTGATTAATTTGTCACGCTTACACTAGAAGTAAATAGAACGTTAGGTTCTTTAGTAAGAAGATCCTTTGCGAAGGGACTAGTTTTTAAATATTCAATTCAGAATTGAAGACCAACCATCTTAAATAAAAGTAAGGCTTTTAATGACATAGATAACTTTATTGTGAGAGAATCATGCTTCGGCAAATATCGACTGGCTCGACCAAAGTGTTCATCATGTTCACAGACTCATAGAAGATCAGTTTTAAGGAAGGTTGCACCGTGTGAGTGACGTTGCTAAAGGTCCAAACCCTCCTCTCAATCATAAACCAGGGGGGGAGGCACTTAAAGGCAAAGCACTTACGACTATTGAATAGCATGGGTTCAAGGGCAGCCGTTGTCACTTATTATCGTTTGTGTATACCACAAAAAACTTTTTTTTTGTGTTGAATTGTCATTTTATTTAAAGGTTCATTTTAAAAGACTAACTAAGAAAACTACGAAAGAAATTAATTGCATTAATATTTATAAGGTATGAAACTTACCAAGCGGTTCCAATTTGCAATTTTATTATTCAGACAAGTCTCAAAAGTTTAATTAAATACAATTATCGCAACCCTGTCATAACTTCCTTTATAAGGCGTCTGGACATTGAATCATTGGAAGGAAGTTCTAAAATCCACTCAACGAAAATTTAATTGATCGAAAGCTAGACGCAGATCTGGGAGCTTATAGGGCAATTAATTAATGTACTCGGCGCCCGGGCTAGTACTAATCTCTGGTAGGAATGTCAGCGCACGTCTGCCGTACACGATGTAATTATTTTATACGAATATTGGATGAAACGTCATAAGAACCTTAAGTCTCTGCAGTTGAGTCGGTATAGGATCCCGTATACTTTTTTTAAATAATAACCTAACACATCTACACTTGGTCGTCTAATCTAGGTTGAGCCTGTACTCTGGCAACCAAACTGGTAGCTGTTTACAATTCACAACCATGGTTACGTATAATAATTATAATTACTTACCGGAATAATACACACCGCAAACTTAATCAGGTATTTCGTTGCTTGTGTGTACATAAAGGTTTATTTTAAAAAGGTCGTATAAACCGGGAATGGTGATCATTGTAGGCATTCTCAAAAAAACAGTTTTTTGGAAGGTATCCTTCTTTTCTCTAATCTCTCTCTACTGCTAAGTAATGTCAATATTACCTGGTCGATTAATTCTCACGGTACACATTAATTCCCTGTCAGGCAGTTATGTTAAATATAAAAGTTTTAAAATTTTAGAGTTTCACCTTTTTAACGTCCAAAATATGTTATGTAATACAAGAGACGCTCGCCACGCACGTCATGTATACATCAATAATCATTAGCACCCTCTCCTGAATTCATCATTGTCGCGTAAACAATGCAGGCTCGGTGCGAAAACCATCAGCGTCAGATGTTCTTAACGAGCAATGTTTATTAAATCAGGCGGTACGTTCGTTCAGGTTGGGCTTTGTCATCTGTAAATAATGAAAGTGGTATATCTTGGTAAAGAAATGTTGAAATAAACAATGATAATACAACATTCTACCATGGGAGAGCCATGCTTCGGCACTTTTGGAACGGAGTATTAACTTGTAGGGTCAGAGTATCGCTGTTAGAAAACTCTTGTTGCTTTTCATCTAGTGAATAAGGTTAACGGAAGCCAAAGGCTTGTCCGTGTGGTGACGGATTAAGAAGACGGAGTGTCACCACCCCTATTCATCCCGTGGGTGTAGTAAGAGTCGACTAAAGGAGCACGCTACGCAGCTACGCAGGACCACAGCACTGCAAAGAGAAGTAAAACTTGACACAAACCCTATGTCAACCCGTTTGTCCAGCGTGGTATAGTATGCCAACAGCTTCTTTCTAAGGAGAGGCCTATGTCCAGCAGTAGACTGTTAAAGGCTGTTGATGTGTGATGTGATGTGAACAAGATACGCGTTAACAAGGTTTTCTTTACCCACATTTATTATTTAATCAACAAAATTTTATTTTATAATTATTTTATGTACTTTTCCTTAAGCTAAATTGTTTTCACTAACTCCTTTGGATCTTTTTAACTATCTTATTTCGTCTTCTTTTCTTCGATCTTAAAAATTGGTCAATCGTATACTTATATATCGACATATTAAAAAAAAAGTTTTTAATAATAACATTGGGAGATGAATTCCATTACTGCACAACTACGTGCCTATTCTACTTTCACAATTCACGATAGCAATCTTGTCATATTGCCTCGTGAAAAAAAAAATTGATAGATGAAAATACAAATTTTTAGATTTCAATTCAGATTCGAAAGCAGTTATGAAGAGTGAGCAAAGTCAATAGGAATAACATTCACGTTTCGCGAAAATATAACGTAATATTGTATTCATCGTGTTGTTTCATCTTAAGATTTTATCCATTTTTGTTTCTACTAGGATCTGGAGGTGTATGAGGCAGTGGTCGATGTCCGATGTTATGACCTAACAGCATTGTTTCTATGCTCACTTTTTGTGCCAAAGTGTGGGCCTCTGGGACATATGGTACGGCCCTGCAGAAGTCTATGTCACGGTAAGTGGGGTCTGCATATCTTTGATTGTCACCTCCCTAATCTTTTTGAAAAGTTATCTTGAAATTAAATAAAGGGTTGAAAATTAATTAAACTTGTATGTACTGAAATCTTTATTTATTTATTTGGGACAACTTACAAAACATACACTAATACATAGTTTACAAATATGTGTTACAAATATTTGCTGAGTGTTGTCTTACTAACAAGTTGCCATGGTAAGGGACAGTTACATCTGAGATTATAAGATTTAATATCTATTTTAGTACTATTATAGTACACAAAACATACAGAACATCATCGAAATTAATTAAAGACAGTGATGCATTTAAAGTGGTCTAAGAAGGTCTAAATGACGCAATAACTTTGCTTTTCTTTATCAGAAACAATGCGTCGTTGTGGATTTTTCCTGGAAGTATTTGGCTTGACAATGCCAGATTATCTACAATGCGATATATTTCCGGAGTCTACTGATACCGACGTTTGCCTTGGCAACAGAGAGGTTATTGATGCTCGATTCAGGGATGATATGCCAGGTAAGTGGCGCAAAATTTTGCTTCGAGATAGATAGTACATTTAATGAACATATGTAACATCTATAAATATTATATTATTTCATATTGCAATTGCAATATATACAATAAAAAATAACAGTAATATATAAAATTTAGCCTAATGTGTAATACCTATTGTAATATGACAATCCTGCTCTATTGTTCAATAAGTCTTCCAACTCTGACAAGACTGTGTTCCCATGTCCAGTATGTCCAACCGGATTCCAATGCGACATCCGGCGATGTATTCCACACGACTGGAGATGTGACGGACACGTCGACTGCGCCGATCGTTCTGACGAACTCAACTGCCGCGTCTGCAAGCGAAGCGGCGAAGTGCACTGTGGGAATCAGAGATGTATTTCACAAGCTCATTTGTGCGACGGGAAAGTGGACTGCCCGTGGGGACAGGACGAGAGAAATTGTTGTAAGTAGCTTTGGAAAGTATTGTAAATATTCCTAGGTCTTCAATATCTGTCGTCTATTGAATTCCTTATTCCCTTTTTTCTGAGATTCTCCGTGCGTTATAATCAAGGTAAACTTTAAAATTTTCTAGGCTTGCAAAATGCACTAGACGGTTGTCTACAATCTTCAAGTATATTTTAAACCTATATGTTACTTTACAAAACATACTTTGTTGCTTTCACCCAGTAGGTGAGCTTGCTAGAGGACTAATCAAGTAACTAAAGGACGTCAACGCTCTTGAACCTTTTGAGTTGCAAGTATCCATGGAAAGCAGTAGCCTTACTCATCATCAGCTGATCCATCTGTTTGTCTGCTCCCTATACCATAAAAACTTGGGCGTGGTATAATACCAAGTCTTAATAGACCAGTTCTTGGTTAGAACTCAATTCCAAGTTTTATTGTACTTCCTAACATTACAGAAAGACCTTCTATTGTAAACGTTTACCAAAAGACATTGATTAAGATCAATCAGTCCAAGTTTTCTTGGTATAGATTATTTTGTTTCGAGAAATATTTTTTCTTGTTCAATTACGCCTATGATTGATAGAGAAAAAACAATTTTCCTATAATTGCAATTCACATCTATCGCACTCTTCTACGAAGACGGAAAAGTTGGTCTTGAAAAATAATACAGTCAATTTCAAACAGTTACACCCTTGGGTGTACTTGAAGGTAGGATTTATACGTGCCTACCTTGCATTTGTCAATTATTTCCTCACCTTGATTGAGGAAGAATTGGAGTGGGATCGAATGGGGTTTTTTTGCAACTGAGAATACAAATTTCTTGGAGCGTGCTTGAATCAAAGTGTATAATTTAAAAAGAAACGTCTTAGATACGGGTGTTATTTAGTTAATAGAAAAAGACAGTCTCTTTTTCTATTGATATTTTATATGGATAAATATTGATACATTAACTGATTTTGTTTCTAACTCACTGTTAAATTTGATTTTGGTTATTTATAAATTTTCTAAGTAGAGAAAGATTTTTACTTGATTTTGAAAAGTAAGCGAAACATATTCAATGGATGTATTTGATTTTTTTCCTCTATTAAATGTGACTTTAGTGAATTTGTTTACTCATTATTCTGCTTTCGAAGGCAGAATTAGAATATGCTGTGTTTTCTGGGTACGTGAACAGAGAATAATTTGTTTTTAGAGTAATTCCAATCTGTGGAACGGGTTACCATCTACCGCAGATACCGACCGGACCGATACGACCTTCAAATCTTCAAGAAAAGAGCGTACTCCTTCCTAAAAGGCCGGCAACGCGTTTGTGACTCAGTGAGTTGCACACGTTCATGGGCGGCGATGGTCACTTTTCATCTTGTGACCCGTCTGCTCGTCTACGCCCTCTAACGTAAAAAAATAAATAAATGCCAGCATGCGTCGAGTCAATAAATATCCATACTACAGCAAATCGTATAACAATTAAAGTGTTTGTCGGACTTCCAACCAAAGCAATTAATTAATTGCAAGTTCGATCAGATATTGGTAATAGGTATATTTATGTATATAACCGTGATATACCCTTTTGTGAGCTTCTTCCATGTCCAATAAGATGAGTATATCTATCGTATCTACTTAAATATTTACAATCTCAAAGGTCATCTATCTATATTTGTAGAATGTCAATGTCTTTGATAGATTCTTTGAAGAACCATTTTGTGATTAATAAAGAAAAATCTGAAAACGATAAAACTTCTTTATCTATGGCCATTTAAGGTTTTAAGATGATTATGAGTATACTGTAACTTTATAATCATCATTAAGTTTTTTGTTCTTTGCCCAACTTTATTTGGGGTCATAGGTCACGCGTGCCTCTTTTTGTTGTTCCATTCGGATTCCACCCACCAGTGGTTATGTCGGACAAGTACCAAACAAAAACGCCGCACGCCGTCTCGAGTACCAGTAGCCGGGGAACCACGTGTACCTTATGAAGGAAATCCCTGGAACCCCGACGAACCCCGGGCCATCTACGGCTTGTAGATGACCCTCGTGTGTGGGAATCATGGTGTTCCCCTTCTACAACCTAAAGGATACGCGCGCTCCACAGCGCGTCGTGCCGTTAATCCGGCCTACTTCTGCTAGGGTGACAGAGGGCCTCACCTGTCAGCCCCAGGCAGCCAGTCGCAAAGGACAAAAAACAGTGTAAATTTTAAATATTGCACCTGGGAACGAAACTAATATTGCAATGGCTTGGTGAGGCCGGAGTCTCGTACTCGTATTTTTTTTTTATATTAGAGGGGGCAGACGAGCAGACCGCCGCTCATGGACGTCTGCAACTCAGGAGTCACAAAACACGTTACACTTTAGGCTGGCATTTTAGGAAGGAGTACTCTCTTTTCTTGAAGGTTTGAAGGTCGTATCGGTCCAGAAATACCGCAGACGATAACCCGTTCCACAGATTGGTTGTGCGAGGCAAGAAGTGTCTCGAAAAGCGCACAATAGTGGAGCGCCAACTACCCAGCTGATGGGGAAGAAAGTTGCCGCCGGTATTAGTCCGAACAATTCCCAGGAGCACTCTCCATGATATATGCGATAGAGAATGCGGAGTGAAGCCACATCTTTGGGTTATTGTCGATTCGAGTCGCTCTTTGTTGATGCGGTCCAAAAAGATCGTATCCCGTGATTGGAGAGACCAGTAGGACCAAGACTTAAACTGGCTAATAGTTACTTATTATAATTTTTTCTAAACATTGATAGTAGTATACAAGCATAGATTATGGGCCACGTTAGGCCTCGCATCGTGAATGTGATTCCTCAATGTTAACCTTGTGGGCATAGGGTATTGTTTCACATTGATTCATGGTTTTAAACATTGATATTACAAATAGGATATCTTAAAAAAAAAATAGTACATAAATATTCTTTTGATTTTGTTCTATTATTGTCTCATCATCTGCCTACCCTTTTCCCAATTTTGTTTGGGGTCGGCGCAGTATGTATGATTTTTCCATTCTACTCTGTCATGCGTCATCTCACTGTTTACTCCCTTCCTAGCCATATCCTCCCTCACGCAGTCCATCCACCTTTTCTTCGGTCTGCCTCTTCTCTTGTACCCTTCAACTCCCATACCTAAAACTTTCTTCGCCACATTCTCCTCATCCCTCCGCATGACATGTCCATACCAAGATAACCTATTACTTCTTAACTTTTCATCCAGTGGCGCTACTTTCAGATTTCTATTATTGTCTGTATAGGTTATTTATAATTTATTGTACATACCAAAAACATTTCAAACAACTGACTTTTTTGTTCAAGGAAAACACGTCATGAAAATTAAATGTATAAAAACACAGTTTTCAACATTTGTCATTTAAAAACAATAAAACTTGAATTTTACAACATTTATAATATAATTTGCAAACAAGTGAACAGTTTATATTAATTTCTTGATACAACTATGATGCTGAAAAACAATATTCCAACAATCTAAGACTTACTTGAAAACTAATATAATTAATGACTGTTTTAACGATACGAAATTAAAAATAAATGCGCCTTTATACTTTGGTACGTTAAATTTTAAGTCTTACAGAGCCTCTATTTACGTAAATATTAAATATTACGTATGACGGAAAATAAGCCTTTTCAAAATCAGTACACAAGTTGTGTTAACTTTATATAAATAAGTAAAAAAATAATGAAAGGTCTTTTAAATTGTCTTTTAAAATTAAAGTGCGCCATGCACGAAAGCACATCATATTTGCAATAATATTTATGTTATTAATAAAAAAATATATAATATTTTGGACACACAACGCTATCTGCTTTCAAACTATTGAAAGAATACATATATTTTTTATTTTGAAAATACTTACATAATAATATTATACATAGAAAACACACAAACTTCGAATCAAATAGCAGATCATACAAAATTTGAATCGGGTTCGATCCCCGGATCGGAACAAATATTAAATATTTGATCCGATCCGGGGATCGAAGGGGAACCCGAGACTCCAGCTCCAATTACTATGTAAAAGAGGTACAGAAAGCCAAAAAAAATATAATTAAAAGCTATGTAACAATGTATACAAAACCATATCATGGTACCTTTAACAGTCTATATACTTTACTACTATTAATGCCCAAGTGTGAGTTGTCACATCAACTAGCTCTTGACAGCAAACACGTGCAGTGCTGTGATTGGTGTAGAGAGACGATCGAAATACATATGTGATATAAACTCGGTCTGGAGTGCCTCTGGTCTTAAAATAAAACCAGATATATATATAAATTCTTTTTCGTGAACCACCTGTCATAGTAGGCAGATTTTTTTTTACTTATTATAAACTAAAAATTATTTAAATACATCAAAACAATTTTGTTACTGTTCATTCCTATGAAAATAGAAAAAAAATTGCTACGAAACATTTTTAATATATTCATATTTGTACACAGTACGTCTAAGCCAAGCAAATGGTGACGTGGGTCGAGGCGAACTGCAAGTGTACCGTGCAGCGAATCACTCCTGGTTTCCAGCTTGCATAACAACCCTGGATGATGACACCGCAACCAAACTATGCTCCATACTCGGTTACTCGTGAGTTCCATTTATGGTTATTTTACTTATATATGCATGAATAAAATATATCACAGAATTGGATGAAATTCAGAACCCTCATAGAATAGGTCTTGGATATATTTATAAAATAACATAACATATATGACACACAAGTCCACAGGAAACGACGACGAAATTTAGCAGCAAGCAAAAAACCAAGCAGATTGAGCTAGGAAGATACCTTAGAATTTAACACACATCATAATTTAATTACACATCAACATAGTATACGAGTATATGAGGAGACCAACCCGTCTGGCCAGCGTGGTATAATAAAATACTTCCTTTCTAAGGAGAGGTCTTTGTCCAGCCAGTTTACGACTACTAAAAAAACAAATATTTATAAATATGTTAACTCCATAATTAAACTACGCAGGACAACAGCACTGCAAAGAGAAAGAAAACTTGAAACAAACTCTTTACCACCCGTCAGGCCAGCGTGGTATAGTAGGCCAAAACCTCCTTTCTAAGGAGAGGCCTATGTCCAACAGTGGACTGCTAAAGGAAAATTATGATTAACTTCATAATTTATATATAATTGAAATTACCTTTTCTTTACCAGGATAAAAAAATCGATTTCCTATCGAGTCCTTTCTTGTTTTTCCTCCTGTAAAGTATTTACTCAATGTTAGAAGTCTTTTGAATTTGTACTAAAACTTCAGGCACAACCAAGATGTGTAAATCTTGTTGACTGCCATTTCTTGCATTATAATTTGAGATCAATAAGATCAAGTGCATTAATAACCAGAAAACTCCTTGCCTTGGCCAATATACGGCATATGTAAGATGCGTGGTCCTTGTCCTTATCCAGGTTTCTAAATAAAAGCAAAGCTGTAATAAACGAGTCGAAGCCAGCGGTAAGCAGCATCAAAGCAGCCGTGAACGTCAGTGCGACACCATCACCTCGTGCAAGTTGGTTCCATGAGCATGGTGCTGCGCAGACGTACCGAGCCTTTCTCAGAACCCAAGGCGGACTGCTCAAGGAGTTGAAGGAGTGCAGGCGCGATTCACCCAGAGTTCACCTCGTCTGTAATAACTACGGTGAGTTTAGTTTCTAAGTTAGACAAACGAAGATTTTTTTACTACAGTTTTGTGACACTTCCAGAAACTTGTCAGATTAGTGATCAATAGTATGCGGATGTATTTACGTGTGTTTTAAGGCAAGTAGACTACAAAAGGTTTAGGAGCCCATTGCATCTATGTTGGGTGAAACACCCGTTTTTGGAACCAGTTAGAGTTTCCCGAAACAGATTATTAATATAACATTTAAGTACACAAAAGGATTGTTTAATGTAGCGAACTTGATCAATCTGAAACTTCATAAATACTTTGTTACGGTACCAGCAGCGTGGCTAATAATAGTTCTGTGGCTATTTTAGACGTCGACGCTAAAATGCCTGTATACGGGTATAGCTGTGCGGGTAATTTGGTATGCAGAACTTAGTGTCCCACTGATCGAGTCGAGTACAGGAATCAGTCGGTGCTAAATAGGACCAACCTTCAAAACGAATTGCTCCTCTTTGTTTACAAACTACGAAAATATCGCGTACCACACACATAATAACATCATACAGAAGGAAAACTTGAAACAAACCCTATACCAACCCGTCTGGCCAGCGTGGTATAGTAGGCCAAAACCTCCTTTCTAAGGAGAGGCTTATGTCCAGCAGTGGACTGTTAAATGCTGTTGATGATGATGATGATGACACATATAAGAAAAGTTTTAAATCGGATTAAGAATCTACTGTATTCTGAAGACTTAAAAACCGTTAATTTCTGAATTAGTTACCGCTTTATGACATCACGGGATCCACTACATGATCTTAAAATATAACCCGACATTTCTCTGCTAATCTGCTTTAAAAGTGATATTTTGTTTTTGGGATCTCCAAGAATGAAAAGGTGCTTATCTGTGTTATTGTAAGGTAAGTGGCGATACGTTGACGGCACAAAATAAACACGGAGGCTTTTCAGCGAATCTTCCTTGTCAGTCTTAACGCTTGTACTAAATCAACTTGTATTTTGTGAAAGCTTTCAAATATTCAAGTGGGCTGAGAGTAGCGGGTCTCATGTTGAGCACAGACTCGACTTTTTATAGAAGAAAACTTCGTGAAGACAAAGATGATGTTTTACGTATTGTTACAATATCTTTGAAAGTTTGTTTTATTTTATTATAGTCTATGTAGCTTGGGTCTCAATGGAACATGTACTTAACGATAAGTAGAGGTATTTTTGTAACTGTAGATTTGTTTTGCTCTTAAAAAGGTTCTAATTCTAGAAACAGATGCTTTCTGATCAATAGTGGTTATGAAAATGATTGATGCTTGAAGTACAAATGCTTTCGGATTTCTATTTCTACTGAAGCATTTTTATTTGCCAATGAGTATTCATGTTTTTAATACTAATAATTGTCTGCATACACGATTGTTGTACGTAAGTTGTATGACGTAAGACCGAATTGTACGGATTCCCTCATTATCTTCCAAGATAAACCTTGTGATAGCCACCCAAGATCTTTCACTCTGCTACTCTATCTCTACTTAATTAGGCAATGAACTATTATGTTCGTATCATATATTTCAGAAGCTTTTTTATCCTTACAGTAGCTGGTACTCATAATAGGTGAGCATCTGCCAATATAATATTCTTCTTATCCAAGTAAATTGTGTATAAATTTAGATTCGAAAGATATCATGTGTATAATACTTATTGACAACGTTTTCTATTAACATCTACTTGAAATAGTAATAATGGAAATAGCATGGGACCTAAGCCCCTTCTTTTTTTTTTGCTTTTCTGTGCGGAAATCCCCTTGGATACCACACCGGTGGCATGTCGGACTCGAACCGAATAAAACCGCACGCCGTCTCGGGTACTAATAGCCGGGGAACCAGGTATACCCTAGAAAGGAAGTCCCTGGTGCAAGGGACCTAAGCCCCTAACTCCGCAAAGCTTGTACATTGTCTTTGTGAATATGAAACACCCAGACTAATGCATACACATTATATTATATACTAGCTGACCCGCGCAACTTCGTCTGCGTCTCTCAATAGTAATAAATTTTCTCCGTTTTTGAAACATTCTTCATTAGTGCTCCGCTCCTATTGGTCTTAGCGTGATGATATATAACCTATAGCCTTCCTCGATAAATGGGCTATCTAACACTGAAAGATTTTTTCCAATCGGACCAGTAGTTCCTGAGATTAGCGCGTTCAAACAAACAAACAAAAAAACTCTTCAGCTTCATAATATTAGTATAGATTATACATTAACACAAACAAATACTTTAACTGAAAGAAATCGGAAACCCATGGCTGTCGAATGTACCAGCTCCGTCATAACTATGTGGTGCTTGTCAATGGTTTACGTACATAAGATTTCCTATATAATTATGTTTAGTTTTAATGGACATCCATATCAAACTGAAAATTAATTTACAACACGATATTAAACAAACAACAAATTTTTGACAACTTCACAGTCAAAAATAAAACAAATAAACAAAAAAAAATCTAAGAAATTCGCGAATACTTTTGCTTACCTCCTCACTTGGACGTGAGTTTAAAGATAGCACCTTCAACTTGACAAAAGGTCGGCCAGACACCAGCATAACAGAATTAAATCTAATTTGTGAAGACAAATGGCTTTTAATTATAAAATCTGTCAGGAGACAAGGTGAGAGAAAAATTAATGAAAATGCTCACTTACCTATACATAATTATGTAAAACGAATTACAAGGACAGTGGTTAGTACTTTATTGATTACTACGCCACAGTGCTCTTGTAGTCATTTAGTTTTTAATACATTTACCATTTAAAACACATTTGACTTGTCCTCTGATGTTTGCCATTTTACCCATTGGAGACGGCCGAGTTTCAGAAAATATTATTTCTTTGTAACTTTAAGAGTACCTCATCGGTATATTTATTTTACAATAGCGAAGCTTAAATCAGTACGAACATAATACTAAGATTTGTTACACATAAACATGATTAATAATAATAATAATAATATACCTCACACATCTCACACACGGCCGTCTGATCCCAAACTAGGCAGAACCTGTGCTATGGTAACCAGACTGCTGATAAACATACTTATATATTTTTAAATACATACATATTATAGATAAATTACACCCAGACACAGAACAAATGATCGTGCTCATCACACAATATTTGTCCTGGGTGGGAATCGAACCCACGACCTCCGGCTTAGCAGTCAGGGTCACTAACCACTAGACCAACAGGCCCGTCAAATTAAATAATTAATTAATTATTAATTTACATGTGCTACGTACTTTAAAGTAACAGAGGGTATGGTGTAGAAACTATTACACTTAGACTCTTGACCGTATTCACTAATGATGAAACCACTATATCATGTGTAAGATAATCATATAGAGAAACTACCAATATATCATCATATATTGGTAGTTTCTCTAGTAAATAGGAAATCCTCCGCAGTCAAGATACTTGAGATATTGCCGAGTTATATCCAAACTAGGTACCTCGTCTAAATCGAACAATTCCATAACATAAACGACAGATTACGGCACAGATTTATTCATGCCTATAAACTATCATAATCCATATTATTATTATTATTTGTTTTTTTTTTCCTATATGTATGTTACTAAGTACCAGTATACCCACCTAAATAACAAAAGAATTTTCATATTGGTTCATAATTAACGGAGTTCCGAAGAATGAAACTGTTACTTTATTTTCTAAGTCCTAGTGATAAATCCAACTGGGTCATAATATCTACTTAAGTTTAATATTTAAGAACGGCTTTATCCTTAATTTAGACGAATTACTATTCATCATCATCATTATTAACAACCTTTACTAGTCCACTGCTGGACATAGGCCTCTCCTTAGAAAGGAGGTTTTGGCCTACTACACCACGCTGGCCAGACGGGTTGGTATAGGGTTTGGATGTCTTAATAACAGCTGTTCCCGGATCCCTCCTGTTACAGGCGCAGAGTGGCACACCGTGTGGTTTTAGTCGGTCCGAGTCCGACACACCACCCCGCCGCAAACCCCGGTGGGGTGACGGTCCGAGGGGATTTCCACACGTTAAAAAAAAAAAAAAAAAAAAAGGGTTTGTGTCAAGTTTTCCTTCTCTCTGCAGTGCTGTTGTCCTGCGTAGTTTGCTCCCTTAGTCGCCTCTTACGACACTCACAGGACGAATAGGGGTGGTGACACTCTGTATTCTTAATCCGTCACCACACGGACTATTACTATTACAATATTTAAAAGCAATTTAAAATAAAGAGTTGATAGTTATTTATGATCAAAACCCGTCATGTTCATGACCCATCAATGTTCAGAGTTACTTAATGTAAATAAACTAAAAATTGATACCGTTTCAACATCTCCTTTATGAATAATAAGCACTGAACTATTGAATTTAGTCGGTGTTATTGACTAAAAGTCATTTGAATCGTTAAAAGGTTTACATTGTTATCGGTTGTTTTACCTTTTATAATGTCAGTCACTTTTATTTTATAGACATTTGACTTAGCTAGCAGTAGCAGTAGTTTAGCAGTACACGTCATGTTTGGACTGCTAATATTCAATTTTGTGTATAATTAGTATTTTTGTATTATATTCCTCCGGGCCGCTGTACTTCCGATATCCTTACTTACTAAGTGATAGTCATTCTAGCAGCCTTTTCCAAACTAGATTGAGTTCGGCTTTGAGTCTTCTATGACACGGATGAACTTCGATCTTTTATATGAAGCCACAGCCGTCAGACCTCCACAACCCAAGTAGCAGGCGATATCGAAGTTCTGTAGACAAACTGTTGTCGGACTTTTAATGGCTCCAAGTACCCGTAACGATTGATTGATTCGTATAACAACTGGGACCGACGCCTTAACTTACTCTGCGAGGCGCGGAGGAGTCTCAGCGTGTTAATAATGGTTACCCATTCATAGACTGACCGAGCTAGGTTTGCTTAACTTTGCCCTATTCGGTTACCACTTGGCCACGAGCTCACTTAGTGAAAGTAACAGCAACAAAAGAATTTCTTAGCACCGGGTTAATGCAG